CGGCTAATTTGCACGCTATGCTCATTTTCAGTAACGAATTTCACAACGAAAACGTATCCGCATTCCAAACTTGCGACAACTGCTACAGAAATATATGTGCCAACAAAATTCTGCGTTTGTCGCGCTCCAACGGATTTGCGTATCCACCGATGCCAGCTTATTTGCCTCCGCTGAATCCAATAACTGAACGACTCATCTCTCCACGACTACCTTTTATGAAAATACGTCGGCTTTGATTCGTAAAAGGGTCGAAAACGATAGTTGGCCAAGTCATAAACGTACCGGTCGAGGTGAATAACATGGTGACCGACAGCTCGATGACGATTACGCCTGCAACATGCATATTAAAAAACATCAAATACACAAATCTTCGGCGTACAGCGGATTCATCTACAGTTACTCCGTGCTCCCGATATAGCGGTGTGTTGACGAGATACCGTAGCCACGCTTTTACCTCGCTTTTCTTCCCGTTTATGACTTATCGTTTTCGACATTTTTACGAATCGAAGCAGACGTATTTGCATAAAAGGAAATCGTGGAGAGATGAGTCGTTCAGACAAACGCAGAATTTTGTTGGCACATATATTTCTGTAGCAGTTGTCGCAAGTTTGGAATGCGGATACGTTTTCGTTGTGAAATTCGTTACTGAAAATGAGCATAGCGTGCGAATTAGCCGGTACCGGACGCAAATCGCGTTGAAACCATAAGCGGTCACAGACGGCACAAGAGAAACCGAAGTGATTTGACGTGAAGCGCTCGTCGAATTGTAGATCGGCGGGAGAGCAAGGTGGTGAAACGTACGAATGGTTTACATCACGAATTTCCATCTCTTCTGCGTAATTCTTAACAGCTTGTAATTTCTTGCGTGCTCGGTATTCGCGCTGTATTTCCGTGTTTGTCTTCGGTGGTTCCTTTTGCTCATCTATCTGCGTCGGCGTTAGCTCCACCGCATCAGGGTTCGTTAGTTGCAAATTCGGTATCGGATCGATGTCAATTTTCTCGTTGGATGGATCGGATCTATTATCTACTTTCTTACATACTCGGTTTTGCTGTTGTAGAAAGCGTTGATATTTTTCAGCGTCCATTGTTTGTGACGAAAATTCATCAAAATCCATCTTGTAACACTATATACCATACAATAATTATTAGCTACGTTAGGTTAAGTACGTATTAGCTAAATTATGTTGTACGTTCAACGTTCAAAATAGAAATGAATAATAAATTCAATGTAATTTATTATTCATCGGTCAGCCCGGACAGTCAGTCGGGATGAAGGTTATGCGACTTCGGCCGTCCGACGGGATGCACCGTGTGTTTAAATCGACCGGCGACACGAGGAGCCTGACAAAAGCGCAAATGGAGGATAAAGAACGGATGGCGGTTTTGGTGGGGCAGAATTTCGCTTACCTTAAATCGATTCCCAATTCCGTACACTATTGGTCGGCACGTAAAAAAAACGTTTTCGCAATGATCCGTCAGCTCGGTAAGCCAACGATCTTTCTCACGATAAGTGCGTCAGAATACGAATGGAATGACCTGCTACGACTGCTATACCGCCTTGAAAACAACGGGCGTGAATGGACCGGCGAAGGCGAACCGAAACGTCGATGAGCAGTGATTTGCGCACGACACTTGTCAACGAAGACCCGGTTACGTGCTGTATTTACTTCGACAAACTCGTAGACACGATCATGTACATTCTGTCGAAATCTACGTGCAGTCCTTTTGGTGTAGTCGATTACTTTAAGCGAATCGATGGATGACAACAACGACGCAAAGGTGGACGAGTACGCAGCTTCGAAAGCGGTGCACAACGATTTCGTACAAAAAGTGCGTGATGTCGTCAACGACGACATGGTAGCGCGCATTATGGACCGTACGTTAACAAAAAAGTGAGTATAGTTATAAATAATTTTCTCAAATTATTATTATAATGGACTATAATTCTTTTTTCACAGCTCGTTGATACGAAAATTAAGTGGCACCAGAGTCGACTCAGCGCACTCTTCAAGAGTATAGATGAAGAGAAGAAATTTCTACGTATTTTAGAGTATATGAGCACCCTACTATCAGAGATGAGGCAATTATTTTAAGACCGTCAGGATTCAACCATCGCCTACGGCGTCCAACCAGTTCCGACGCCTGGCTCTCTTGCTCGTATAAATTCGCAACGACATTACTGTATCGCGCATATTAATTTTATGTATTTCATGCAATATAAAAACTACTTTCTTTCGTCAATAGTACTTTGAAATTTTTTTGGAAACTTTCGACTTGTGTGACTCGTTAACTAACCTAACCTATTTATCCTGAAATTTATTCGGTACTTCAACGCGACATGAAAATGTTCTATCGTGTTCAGACTAAAAATGGCTGACTTTTTATTGTGCATATGATAATCGGCTGATGATAATAAAGATAACTAATACTAATGATAATTAAACAACAATACTACATAATAATAATAAATAAATAAATATGTAATAAAATAAATTAGTGCAATATCCAAAATTTTTTTATTTGTTTAAATAAAGCTGTTAACTCAAGTGGAGTACTGATATCCTTGCGTAGTTGTACATTTAGTTTGTTTATTTGATTACCATGTCATTTTCATTTACTTGCCAATATTGCCCTTCAAATGATCTGTATTTAAAAAAATATTCGACTTTACCCCCTAATAGTAGGTATTACTAACGCATACATCATTATTGATATACAGGGTGATCATAAGCCAGTCAATATCCCACTGGGTTTAAAATAATAATTCATTTTTTTTTATAATGTTTTATAAAACGTGATCTCAATTTTTCACAATTTTTTTGTTTTTACCCCCTTCACAACTTTTTTTTGATAGCAACTTTTGAAACTTAAATGGTAACGTTTATATTTCATTAACTTTTTAAATTGAGAATAATGAACTAAAAATGTTGACTGGATGATATGTAATATATTAGATATATGTAAAAATAAATTTCTCAGATTTGTTTTTGCGAATACTATTAACATAAGCAACATAGTCATTTTTCGTTATGACTAACATATTTACATTATTCCTAAGCGTAGTTTAATCGTTTTACTAACCAGTTACAAAAAACATGTGTTACGATCTTTAAAATCATAACAAAAGCCATAGCAGAAGCGGTGGGGCATATTAGGCCTGGTAAGTATTAGGTATGAATCATTTTGATACTAAGGTTACTTTTCAGATAGATTTGTTATTTTTTTGACATTAGACCATACATTTTTTAATAACAAAATATGTAGATTGCAAAAATTTTAAAGTTTTAAGAATCAATGATAATAGAAAATAAGATAAAAATAGCACATTAGTAATAGATACTGTAAATAGATAGCAAATTTAGGTCTAAACTATATTATTATTAAATAGCAATACAAATTACGAATATGCAAACGAAACAAAAAACCAGAGAAGTGGTTTTAATTTTTATAAAATACACCAATTATAAAACAGTAATAATTATTTTTAAAACCCAATATTTAAATAACCTTAAATCCAAATTTTAACAATTCTGAACCTGCAAGATTAAATTTTTAAAAAATAGTATTTGGTATTAAAATGAATTTAAAACAAAAGTCTGATAGTATTACTTACTCATGGCCTTGATGTATAATGAATCGTTACAAAGTCAAAGATGACTTCGAAGATCAGCAAATAAACAGATAGGTGGAAATTAAAAATTAAACATTTAAAAAAAATTATTTACATTACTATGGTATTAAAAACATAAATGTTCTCATTTGGGAAAAAACGAAGTCCATATTCTTATACGTAAAATATCTTACATAGGATGGATCACCTGGTATAATATGAAAATGTTTATTTACAGTATATGTGGTACGGATGAAAACATTTATGTTAAAACGTTTATGCTGCTTCGTTTATGATAAATATAAACGAAGCATCAAGGACATACGAACAATTTTTTTTTTAATTTTAAATTATGACTACGTTCAATGTAGAGAAAAAAAAAATTTTGTCTAAAATTAAATTTTTTTCCATCTGTGAATTTAACTCAGTTTCCCAGACAGCACACAAATTTAAAACTCTTAAATATATTATTATCGATTTTCGCTTTTTAAATGGTTGTCCATCAATTAAATTTATTTAAGGTCCGACAATTGTTTAAAATTAATTTTATCCGGATTTACTTTGTTCTCAATTGCAATATATTTGGAACTTATCGAACGCTTTCAATTATACATCGAAATATGTATCACAAATGGTAACAAAACGATTAGCTTTACATCACTTATCTTAAAAAAAAAACAAAAGTTATACTCGTAAGAATGGAAAAATAAGCAATTACCTATCAAAATACCAGTTTGGATCAAATAAGCGACTAATGCGAAAATTAAAAAATTAGGTATTTAAAACGTTTTAAATGGCATGTCATAAAGGTATTTTTTGTATTTACTTAAATTAGTTGGTCAACTAATTGTCCAGTAGATTAAAATTAAAAATGTTTTTTTTTGTCGAGCATGGTTAAAACGATGTTTTTTAGGACCACTCAAAATAATCATTTCCAAATATGTGACCAACAAATTATAAGTATTAAAAAAAAAATTGAATCTTGTCACGTGTTAATACTATATATTATCTTCCTTTGGGCAGAATACAGTCTGGCGAGAGTTTACCATCCTCTCTCTCTTAGGTAACCAATCTAGGCCATGAAGTCTACTTTCGGTCAAAATAAAACCATAGTTACGCAATAATAATAATAATAATAATTCGCAACAAATGTGTGTAAAATCAAGATTTTATTTTAGAATTTATTTATTTTATTTTGCATATGATAAATAGCTGATGATTATAAAGATAATATTGCTAATATTAATGATAGTTAAACATCAATACACCATAATAATAACATTACATACATCTATGTAAAATAAAATAAATTAGTGCATTATGACAAAATTGTTTATTTATTTATACATAATATTAAAATAAATAAACATTTGATTACTAATTACTAGTATCATTCGTTTTCAGGTGTTAATTCAAGTGGAATACTTAAATTCTGTTGTAGTTGTGCAGTTAGTGTTTGCATTTGATCACCAATGTCGTTTGCTGGTACTTGGTAGTAATTGTTGCTGAATCTTCTGTACATTACAGTATTTTTGACTAGATTCCCTAACAGTTGCACTTTACATACACCACTATAATATGTACAAGACGTGTTTGAAGTTGTTTTTAGACTAACCCATATTGCTATCAAAACACAAATTCTATGACTAGGATACGTCGGGTTATGCGAGTAGATTTCAGCTAAAAAATCAGAAAACTGTTGTTAAAAATTGCCAAATTTAACTTATTAGCTCCCATATTTCTTTTTTTTTTTGCATGATACAATTACTAAACGTAATGAAAACAAATTATACAATTATATACAAGGTGATTTTTTTATCATGAACCAGTCAATTTCTCACTGGGTTTAATTAGTAATTGAGTTTTTTTTTTTAAATTGTTATTATAAAAACGTAATCTCAATTTTTTTTATAACCCTCCCAACTTAGTTTTTTCGATTACAACTTTTGAAACTTAAATGGTAACGTATACATTTTATTTACTTTTTTAATTGAGAATAATGTACTAAACATTATGAATGGCCGATAACCAGTTTCGGCTAACTATTTTTTAAGTTATAAGAGTTTAAAAGTTAGGATGGGAGGTCGGGAAATGCGCGCAGATAAAAATAAAAATACTCTCCACCTTTCCTCCTGCCATAAACTTGAAATTTCAAAAATAGTTATCCGAAACTGGTTATCAACCAGACAACATTTTTAGTACATTATTCTTAATTTAAAAAGTTACTAAAATATATACCGTACGATTTAATTTTCAAAGTTGCTACCAAAAAAAACAGTACAGTGGTTTCGGGGTATAGTGGGGACGAGTAGGTCACAGGTTTACAGGAATTTTTAAATTTGAAAGTGATAAAATCACTTTCGTAAAAACGCTTCGATGCAAATCGGTAGTTAGTATTTTTAAGCCAGTACAGTCCAGACCAAGCACAGTGTAAACCAGCAAAGTAAGGAAGTATTAAATTAAGGTGCTGTATTTACAAATAATCATCAAAACGTTTATTTGAAAGTGATTTTATTCAATTTTATCACTTTTCTTTATAATTATTCCTGTAGTCTTATAACCTCTCCGTCCCATCTATGCTTTCATTCCAGTATGCCTATAATCCACTGTACTACTCCTTTCGGGAAAAATCACTTTCGCTCTGACGCTTTGATGCTTATTTGTAAATACAGCACCTCAATTTAGTACTTCCTTACTTTTCTGGTTTATAATGTGCTTGGTTTGGACTGTAGTGACATGAGATACTCAGATTTAAAAATGTCTTTAAACCTGTGAACTCCCCTTCCCTACTATACCCCGACCCCACTCTACTGGTTATTTTTTTGGAAAAACATAGTGGCCCAAATAACACATAATCAATTTAAATTCAAGAAAAACTGTAGTGCCGAATTTTTTTTTTCGTTTAATATAGTATGGATACATATGAGTTCTAATTACTAACAAATTTTTTACTTAAATTCTTCGAACAACGGCCTAAAAAACTAAAAAAATTTGCACCGTCCCTAAAAGGATGGGAAATGGGTATAATTAAAATTTGATACAACTGACGTGTGCGGGCATACTAAATAAATGTTTCTTAAAAATTTTAACTAAGTAAGCAAGCACCAATGCATAGTGTGAATTTTAATATTTATTATAGCATCGAAGGTAAAACTAAGTTGGAAGGAGGGTAATAACAAAAAAAAATGTGAAAAATTGAGACCATGTTTTATAAGTACATTATTAAAAAATAAAATTCAATTATTAATTAAACCCATTGACATATTGACTGGTTCATGATAAAAGAATCACCCTGTATAACATGTATAACAGTAAAAGTCTCAGACATAGTTGAAATAATTATTAGTAAAAATAAGATTAGTTCCCGTTAAAGATAATTTTGAGTGAACGATAACTATTTGGGGATAGTTATTTTTTAAGTTATTAACAGAACGAAAGGTTAGGGAAGACTAATGGAGTGAACTAAGGGAGGGAAAGTTAATTCAAAACTAATTATCTAAAACTAGTTCTCGACCAATAACATTTTCAGCAATTTATTTTAGTTGTAAGAGCTCTTGAAAAAAATTCAAATGTTATATTAATTATTATTATGTTAGTAAATATTATAAAATAATAAAAAATTAGCATTAAAACTCTATATTTATAATCACCTATTTTTTTTTTAAGTACATTTATTATGACGTTTTCAGTATAATCTCTTCTCGCCTTTCCAAGTTCTTTCAATTGTGTAGTTTGAGAACCTGTATAAATGTATAAATGAATAACTGGTTTAAAAATATAATATTTATTAATATATTCGTATTTAAATTAAAATTCAATGTCCTAATAAGTACAAACAGAGTAGGGAGGAACGAAAAAATATATGTCAATTAGAATATCAGCAGTATTATCTATTCATGGAGTCTAGAAGGTCTGAAAAAATAAAATAGAGATCAGCGTTGGTTCGAAAATCAGCTAAGGTAAAGAAGCTATGTTAAGAAAACTTTGGATAGCGATGTAGTCGTGAAGAGGGTGCTGTATTTTTAGTAAAAAGGCGATATAGGCTAAAAACGTATTCTGTATTCTCTCAATTCTTATCTGGCCCTTTCCTTAAAATTTTATTGTACTACTACTCCATTCTAGAACCCTTAATAAAGTTTTCCCAACTTTAACTCGATTGTTGTGTAAACAAAACTGTATACAAAGCAAATTGTATTGTTCCAATAAGATATAAGTTATGTTTACAACTAACTAGTAGCTTCGTAAATTCTATTTCTCTCATCATCATTAGGAGTACTACCTGTAACAAAAAAAAAAGTAATTATATAGTTAATCGAACCTGTTTGTTATACTAATCCATAACAGTAACTTTAAAATTGAGATTGATTTGACCAATTAATGAATGCAAATTTAGTTTTAACATAAAACCCACGTCTTTTAAGGCCCTTTTACCTACCGAATTTAAGATCTTTAATAGAAAAAACTTGATGGGATGGAATACCATGAAGAAAGTGATCGTGCAGTAGCGGATTACGGTTCATGGAAAATGTTAAAATATAAAAATTATCAGTATACAGTGATTGACCATGGGAATGAGCCAAAATAAAGAAAAAAACTAGGTTCAGTATGTAGGAGGCAACAGTTAGTCCACAGTTAATGTAATAATAAAAAAAGGTTTATGTCTTCTACAAACAAAAGAAACTTCTTGTTTTTGCAAAATCCCCTCTAATGAGTTTTTTTTTATCCTTTATTTTACATATACGATCTATACAATTTTAGTATAGTAAGTATATATGATAGTTAGTAATGCTATGATTCGAGTATAGAGTTTTGACTATCAAGTCACAAGTATTTATAAACTTAAAACGTCTTGACAACAAATAATAATTGTTACCTATGTTTATAATTATTGTATATTGTGGTAAATGTTAAAAATGTATATACACCGTTCAAAATATTACTTTAATATAATAGTCGTTCTATGTAATTAATTATACCCAAATAAATTGTACTTAAATGTAATTACTGTATAAACAAAAAATGTATAAAGAAAATGTTATCGTTCAACCAAGCCATAAAATCTATTTATAACTAACGAATAACTTTGTAATTACTTTTGCTTGAACTTGGAACAGCAGCCAGAGAAATTTCTGTATTATAAATATAAAACAATTATACACTTATTTGAACCCAGTTGTTATATTTATACATAACAGTCATTCTAAAAATAAAATTAGTTAGACCAACTAATCGAAGCTAAATTTATTAACAACATAAAATAACTCTGTACCAACGTTTGAATGAATGCCTTCATCACTCTAAACTTTATAATAATCTATTTTTTTATGTTTATTATTTTGTCTTTTCTATTTAGTTAGGTACCACTCTTATGTGTTTTAAACATTTACTTTATGGTCAAAATTGTGTAAGCAAAAAAAAAGATAAAGTAAAATTTATCTTAATTAAAACAAGCAAGAAGTTTTATTTACTACTAACGAATAACTTTGTAATTACTTTGATTTTTGTTATTATTCGGAGTACATACCACTCCATTGATACCTGTTATAAAAAAACAATTCAATTATATAGTAAATCAAACCCGGTTTGTTGTATTTATTCAAAACTGTTTCAATTAAATAATGCCAAATACTATATTAGAATAAAGCCGATAAATCCCTCTCCACTCCCGCTCAAGAATCAAATTAAAATGTATGTGTACTACAGAAAAAAAAAAAAAAATTAATGTATCTCTATAACAAAATCATAAATTATCAATATAAATAAAAAAAATTGATTGTGTTTTTTCATAAAGAATCATGCTGTAAAAAAGAAGTATAAAATAGTAATATCTTTAAAATTGTATATTTATATTTACCTATTTTTTTAACATTTTGATTAATACAACTTTTCGCCTTTTCGCCAAATTCGTTGCGTTTTAAAGTTTCTTTACATTCATAAATATATAAATATATATATTAAATATGGTTAAAAATACAATATTAATTAATATATTCGTACTTATATGTTTTATATTGATATTATTCTTTTACGCATTTATTACACAAGTAACGCATACATAATACAATAGGTATATGAAAAACAATACAGGGTGATTATTTTATCATGAACCAGTCAATTTTTCAATGGGTTTAATAAATATTTGAATTTTTTTTTTCATACTGTTTTTATACAATGTGATCTCAATTTTTAACATTTTTTTTTTTGTTTTTACCACCTCCCAACTTAGATTTTTTGATAGCTATCTTTGAAACTTAAATAGTAATGTATATATTTTATAAATGTAGTATTACTTTTATCAGCGCGCATTTCCCAACCGCACTTCCCCTCCCATCCTAATTTTTAAACTCTTATAACTTAAAAAATAGTTATCCGAAACTGGTTATCGGCCAGTCAAAATTTGTAATAAATTATTCTATATTTAAAAAGGTAATCAAATATATACGTTACCATAAAAGTTTCAAAAGTTGTAATAAAAAAAACTAAGTTGGGAGGGTTATAAAAAAAATTGAGATTACGTTTTATAAAAACTATTAAAAAAAAAAAAATTCAATTATTCCCAGTGAGATATTGACTGATTCATGATTAAAGAAACACCCTGTATACAGTTTAATAAGAAGTATGATACGAAGATAGAAAATATATAATATGTGACTTCATACAAAATAGAAAATTACAATAAAAAAGGGTAGAGGTAAGAATATAAATATAAACAAGAAACATTGGCACTATGCAATTTTCTATGAATACGATGGTTACAAATGATTGAAACCAATGTAACAATTAAATTCAATCAAGTAATTAGAATCCAAGGAACAATTAAACCTGAAATGGACGTAACCATATTCGAATCTATGATGACAATTTTTTTCCTGGCAAACGGAATCGAAAACGATGTTCAAAAAAAGCTATAGTGCTTTTATTAGAAAGTGAAAAAATTCATAAAATCGCATTCAGTATATGCGTTCCAAGTATACCAGACACTCGTAATTTCGCTACATTAATTAGCCTTTTAAATAACTACTATAAGCCAGTAAGGTCCTACATTGCTGCAAGACGTGCGTTTTATTAAGCCAATAAACGTACAGATGAAACAGTTGCCGAACGAGGTGCCTTAGTCTAAAACCTTGCATCCAAATACAATTTCTATCAATGCACGCCTATGTCATTTTCGTAGTGGGTATAGATCCAGGCAAAGTGCAAACCCGACTACTTGAAGAAGATACTTCTAAAGAAAGCACGAAATTCACAAGCCTCTCAGAAAAAGTTTCTGCCAAAGAGGCCACTATGAAAGGTAAAAATAATTGAGAGGACGAAGTCGACCAGAGGCAATCGTGCATGTTCAAACCAGCTGATCGCCCGACAACTTCAAATAAACCAAGTTTTAGGATATGTGGTCGTACAAACTAACCACAAAGGGATTGTCGATTCAAGGACTACAGCTACAACGTCTGTAATCAAAAAGGTCATTCGGGCTCATATGTGCAAAGAAGGTTAGAATGATAAGCAAAATTATTGTTGCAAACTAAATTTTTATCTAAAAAGTCAAACGAAAATTCAACTTGTCCGATACATGTCCAATGTACTCATTTGTAAAAATAAAATTGAAAAATAATATAATATTGAAATATAAAAAAATTGTTTAGTTAATCAAACCCGGTTTGTTGAATTAACAGTTTCAATTATCAATGCCAAATATAGTATTAATATAAAGGTAAATTACCTAATGAATAACTAATAATTAAATTTTTATTCACCTATCTTAATTATTTCCTGTTGTAAAGTATGTTTTTCTGTCATTATGGCATCTAAATTTGAAAAAAAAATAAATTGTGATGTACATATTTACTTGTAATAGAAACCTATATTTTACATATAATTCTTTGTGAAGCGTTAAAAATATGATATTTGAAATATATAAAGGTGAGAATTAATTACCACTTAGACAGGCATAATTATGTGTATCTGCAAGTTCTGAAATTAAAGCGAAAACTTTGTATACATAATGATTATCAAACGACTGTGTGGAAATATTTTCATAAAATGCGATTAAAATTATTACCCGGTACAGTGAACATTTGGTTAAAAGACTCTGAAATAAGCAATACAAAAATTAATGGTATTAAATTAAATTTTCTCTTTTATCATAAACTAGAGTAGAAAAGTTAAGAAAAAATAATACCCATGTGTATTAGTAATTCGAAACAAAAGAACTATTAAATAATAACAATTATATTAAATAAGTTTGAAACCTGATGAAAATACAGTGGCTGAATTGAATTATATGGAGGAGTAGAATAAGATAAAATTAGATTTTTAAAAAGTCTGAAACGGGTTACCATTATAATATTGGTTGGGTCGTGTTGCAGTGTGTAAAACAATTTGGCAGTGTAAGGGTTAAAGATACATTTTTGTTGTTTTTTGTATAAATTACTTCTATAACCAAGATTTTTATTTGTTATAACATAATTATTATTACTCATTACGTAGCAATCTCTATTTATCATGACTGTAAGTACTTGCTCCAATACATCTAGAACAAACAAATAAAAGTTTGATCTATAGAAAAATTCTAAATAAATTCTAGTAAATGTTCGTTTTCATGTGCGATAGTGCACACACCCAATGGAAAATATAAATCGACCGCATTAAGAAGATGCCACTCCACCCATGTTTTAAGAAGTGGAGTGCAGGAAATTATTTATAACATTTTAACATAACAAAGTCAAAGTTCACATTTTTCAGGTGTTGGAGGTACATTTTTTGTAAGTCATTTTTTGGAAACACTGTATCATGAAAGCAAACTCATATTTTTATACAGTAAGAATGCATGTGCGGCGTCCGCTTAAATATGTAAATACATTTATATTTGATTTGCAAATAATTTGACATTTAGGCAATCATTGCACAACAATTTTATATTAGTATATTAGATATTATTATCCCTGTGGACAGGGGAGGAAGAATTCTTCCAAGGGCCTCACACCTGTCGTAAAAGGCGACTATAGTGACGTTGAGCCGAACGTTAAGTAGCCTTCTATGGGACCACTTCTCTTGCGACATACCTTCCCCGGCCCGCAGTTAGCGCCTAGCGCTACTAGTCGGTCCGTGGTCGTAGGGGACCCCATTTGGGGAGAACCACAAAAGCCAAGGTACGCCCATATCAGATATTATCTTACTTTCAAAAATTTTACCTTTATGTTTAGAAGCTTTCCGGAGTTGTTTGTCTGTAGTAAATGTTTTTAAAAAATAGGTTTGTATAAAAATCGTACAATTTAAAAACTCACAGAGTTAGTCTGTATGATTATAAAATATTACTTACTTGAAATTTCAACCAACTCTATATATTCCTCTGTAGAGAAAAAGTAAATATAAATTTTTTTAGAATTTTATCTGCTTTGTGTGTGTAAGTATGAAAATAAAATACTTACTTATACTTATATCTGCCAAAACATTTACGCAGATAAATGATAATAAAATACAGGAAATTTTCATTTTTATCTGGAAAAATAAATCTTAGGATAATTCGAGTTAATTTAAATTACTTGAGTGGAATTTTTTTTAGATGTGTAATGTAGTTGAAGCGGGTAGATTTTGGGACAAACATTTTTATGGTATAATCGAAAAAGAATAATGTTTTGGACAAAAAAAAATCCTCAGATTAATTATAAAAATATATTTTTTTTTTAAAACAACTAAAAGTACAAGTTGAAAAACAGCTTGAACTTGACTTGTATTTTAAAGATACAAAATTGTATTGTAAGCCTACAGATATTTGAGATAATTGTATATGCTATAGTTCCATTTTAGATCTACCTTCGTTCTAATTTTCAGATCTAAATCTCTAAAACTGCTTGAAAAGTGAAATAAAGAAAATGTTCTATCCCTTCTAGAATATAGGGTTTATGGTATTTTGTTGGTTTGTCGATAGTACTATGTTAGAAGAACAAGTCATATGAATTTAGAACTTTTTTGACTATTTTTAAAAAAGTTATAGACCATCGTAATTTTAAGTTGAAAAATTTGTACAATTTTTGGGTGTTTTCTCGATTTCGATAGGGAAGGGGTTACTTTTTTAATTTTTGACCTATTAAAGTGCCTTCCAGGTATGATTTTTGATCTATAGAGATGCTACACGAAGAAATCGGTTCTGTGGCTTACGAGATATTGTGGGTCCAGACACAAAAATAAAAAAAAAAAAATTAAAAATTAAAAATAAACACATTAATGTAAAAACAATACTTTATCAGCTCCACACCGAAGCTAAAACAACCCATTTTCTAGCGTAATGTTGTTAGTTTATTTACAAAGCTGTTTTTTAGCATCGATGCCGAGCTAGTATTCATATAAAATGTGTTTTGTTTTTTGTATCTCTAAACACGATACCATCTTTTTCTATGGCCTATAGGTATCCGAAATTATATGTGATTTGGTTACGTTGGTGGGTTAAAAGTTCGAATTGAGTCAAAAATGTAATAGAACGTTTATCAGCCATGCCCCTATACTTGAATAACATCAAATCCAAATTTCAATTTCATCCATCTGATTGGAGACACCCATTTTTTTGGACAATATAAAATGATTGAAAATTAATTTTTCCTATAATTTTAGGGGCTTGTATTTTTTTTTATAGTTTTCAATACTTAGAGAATTTTTATAATAATTTAATATGGTTTTTATTCCATAGTATTGTAGACAAAAAACTAAGATGTGTCTTAACTCTTACATAAGTCGGGTCACCCGGTAAAATGTTTATTTAGAGTATGTGTGGTATGGATGAAAACTTTTATCATTAACAAAGCAGCAAGATACTACGAACAGTTTTTTATTTTTATTTTAAATTACAACTACGTTCTACTTCTACGTACATTTTGGTTGTCCATATTTCGACAATACAGTAAAATAAAATCATATTTTGCAGTGTAACGTTGTTAGTTTATTTACAAAGCTGTTTTTTAGCATCGATGTCGAGCTAGTATCCTATGAAATGTGTTTTGTTTTTTGTATTTGCAAACACGAAACCATGTTTATCTATGGCCCGATTTACTTTAGGTATCCGAAATTATATGTGATTTGGTAACGTTGGTGAGTTAAAAATTGGAAAAATCTACTTAATCACACACAAAACCGAGAAAAATCTGGAAAAAATTGTCGGTTTTTCAAATTTCAACTTTAAATTTCTCTACTCAAAAATTGGTATTTGGTATTAAAAAATTGATTTATTATAAAATATTATGGAGTAACATGGATTCATATGTTTAGTATATCAAGTATGAAATATAATTGTGTATATTATTCTTAGATAAACGTATTTAAAATTCATCCATCTCTGTTTGAAAGCGTACTTACAACTTTTGAAGTCTGAGAGTATTACCTACTTATGGTCTTGATGTATAATGTAATAAGACAGGTGGATTAAAGTAATCGAAGGTCTATATGTTGAAAAAATATGAAAATTAGAAAAACATATCGGAAGTGAACAATTTTATTAGTTTTAAAGTTTTGATGATATTACTTACTTTAACAATTGCAACGATACTATTAACAATTGCCGACTATTTCAATGGTTTTTTTATGCTCGAATGGCATCTGTTATGTCGACCAAAACAATGCAGTGTAAATATGTTTCTCAGATTTGTTTTTGCAAATACTATTAACATATGCAACATAGTCATTTTTCGTTTTGACTAACATATTAAACTATTCCTAAGCGGAGATTAAACGTTTTACTAACCAGTTGTTAATTTTACAAAAACCGTTGTATAAGGCGGTGGGGCATACTTTATTTTCAATTCATATTTTTTATAAACTTATTATTTTTTTTATATTGTTTTTATACAATTTGATCTCAATTTTTCACAAAACTATTTTTCAAGTTATAATAGTTTTAAAGTTAGGATGGGAGGGGAAGTGCAGTTAGAAAATATGCGCAGATAAAATTAATACTACGTTCCTCCTTTCCTCGTGCCCTAAACTTGTAACTTCAATAACTTCAAAAATAGTTATCCGAAACTGGTTATCGACCAGTCATCTTTTTAAGTACATTATTCTTAATTTAAAAAGTTACTAAAACATTTTACTTTAATTAGTTACCATTTAAGTTTTAAAAGAGGTTATCAAGAAACTAAGTTGGGGGGGGGGGGCAAAAACAAAAAAAAATTGTGAAAAATTGAGATCAAATTGTATAAAAACAATATGAAAAAAAAATTGTAATTTTTTATGAAACCTGTATATATAATATAGGGTGATTTGTTTATCATAGGCCACTCAATATTACATAGGGTTTTATAAATAATTAATTTTTTTTTATGTTATTGTTTTTATTCAATGGAATCTGAATTTTTAAATTCTTTATTTTCACCTCCCTCATAGTTTAGTTTTTGTGACAGCAACTTTTGAATTTTAAATGGTAAAGCATACATTCCATTAATTTTTTTAAATTGAGAATAATTTACTAGTCGATAACTAGTTTTTGATACCTATTTTTTATCGATTTTGAAATTTTTGAAGTTTAAAGTTACAGTTGTGGGACCTATAATATTATTTTATTTCAACACAAACCCGCAATGCAAATTTGTTTTTTTCAAATAAACCAATTATAATTTTATTTTATTTATTTATTGTAAATTAACGCCACGGGAGCAACAAAAACTAATATGACTAAATATTAAATTAAAGTATAACCTAGTTATAATAAAGAAACAATACAATTATAATTAAGACTATACTCATAAATAATATCAGTTTTATTTAGACAAAATAAAACACAGAGAATCGAAGATTATACCAACGTGCATGGCATTATTTATTGTGCGTAGGGCTCGGTCTAAGGGGGTTGCGTGACCATAGTAATTAGTCTTATGAAAATTTATTTTGAAGGTAGATGGTTTTATTTAATTAAATGAAGGTGTTGTAAAAGATAACTTTACAAGTAATTCCGGTGATGAAATGATGTACTTATGGTAGTTCAAATGTCATTTTTAGTTAATTAATATTTTGTGATCCTACCAACATTTTACATTTTATAAGCATTACGGACATTCGGTTATATAATATAAAATCAAACT